GCATGTAGCTTAGCTTAGCTCTGCGTTACAGATACAACAAGTGAATTCGCACCAAGCTATTTACAGGGCTAGCTTGTCATTGGCGGCCGGTTTTCCGAAGCGAAGTGATGTTTTGAGGACAATGAAGCAACCGCAGAACGACAGTCACGTGGCCGGAAACTGCAGAATGAAGCTTGCTTAGCGAGAAGATTTGAATGCAGCTAAATAGATGCAACTGCACCCTATGGCAACTGCACCCTACGCTTTTTCAAAGTCGTTCCGAACTCAGACTCGATCGGGAATTTCCATTTAGAGTTAGTTTACTCTTCTGTGGAAAACACGACACATCGTCATTCTAAATGCACTACATGGTTCTCTTATGTAGTGCAGGGTGTTATCACAATCAAAACATTGGATTGATACATCTGCACCAACTGGTTTCGCCACCGGCTAGCGGTCGTACACTCTCCTACACTGACGTGTTTGAACCCGTGAAGCATTTTGCGGACGGACAGACATACATACATACATACATACATACATACATACATACATACATACATACATACATACATACCGACAAACCGACACACAGAGTTAGTGGTTTATAGAATGTAAGGATTACACGATGAAATCGTGCGAAAAGTCAACAAACAGCGTTACAACAGCGTTATACTGACACACCCTCCACTCGTGGTAGGCTATAGGGAGACGGCAACCCTGAGGGTGTGTCGCTGTTATGAATCCGAAATTACTCCAGTTCTCCTGAATCGGGCCCCACCTCAGAACGGCTTGATCTCAACCCACCTCCATCATAAATGCAAACAATGAAGACCTAATTAGCACTTTTTGGAGTCCACTCGCCGGGGATGCTCCTGACCCATACACTACAACAACACCACTACAATTTTATCAACTCAAGCGGTAATCTTCTTCCATCCTATCCTTCTTTCCGTGGTTGAACATACCATCCATCCTTCCCGTCCATCTATCCTTTCGGTGAGAGGCATCTTACTGCTGCAAGCCCGCAGCTGGCCTCTTCCTCAGGTGTAACGGGCTCTCTCAACACGCACTTCGTCAGACGGAGCAGTGTATCTGCAATGGAGCGTTCTTGGTCCTGTAGCAAGGCGAAGCCCATGCAGTCTCCCTCACCGACGTTGCACACACTTGAACCCTGCCACAAGGATCTTGGCCAAGCTTTTTTTTCAAAGACTCTGCCCTTAACTACGACAGCTATCGCGATAGTTCACTTGCTTCGAAATCAATTATTGCAACTGCTTGCTGTAAATTTTCAGCACAACACTGGTGAATATGCAACAAAGGAGTCATGGCATGAGGACATGGGGGAAAGAAGCAGCGAAGCAGCACTAGTGGTTAGTAATGTGAGCAAAGTATGGGAAAGCACAGGCGAAGTTGCCGTGAATGGATTTGTCCATGAAAGCTTATACAGGAGACGTGAGTTTCTTATGATGCGACTTTTCAAATAAACCTCAAATAAATCGACATCAGTATACTGAAAACAGGTGGGTTATCGCCGTTCCTTCAACCACAAACACCTTTCCTTCTTCAAACCAACACACTAAAGCCCGGAAAGTAACCAGGTATTTTCGCCGTTCTCAGGACTCCACCATTTATCTAAAAAGAGTCGGATAGCCCGACTCACGCCGAGCTCCCCTTCTTCTCTTTAGAACGGCTTCGCCTTCGCCGGGGTACCCTGGCTTTGCCAGGCGTACTTGATGATGGGAACGGAATTTTTTATTCACTGAGCTGCTAATTGCGCTGGGTTGATCGAATCGTAATAGAAGAGTGACCCAGCAGATTCTGCACTACTAAGTCCTCCAGTATTTGCAGGAGGGTGGAGGACATTATTACATGCGTGTAATGCATCCTACTCTTTATAATCCGCTAAGTATGTCTGTAAGTGTGTGTGTATGTTTGTGTGTGCGTCTGTCTGTGTGTCACGAAATTCATAGCGCCGGTCCCAGTAGCAGTGAGACATTGATTTCAAGAAGTGATGTAGGCGGTGTGACGGGAACACTATTGGTGGGTGACAGGAAGTGATATCAGCTGATAAGATACGATAAGAGGCGTTAGAAGGGGGAGGTCACCATATTCATAACGCGGGTGACAGCAGCAGTGGGACGTTGGTTCCGAGCAGTGAAATAGGGGGTGGGACGAAAACATTATTGGTAGGTGACAGGATGTGATATCAGCTGATAAGATCTGATAATGGGCATTAGAAGGGAAGGACTACCAAATTCACAGTGCGGCTCACAGGAACAGTGGGTCCTTGGATCCGAGAGGTGATATAGGGTGTGGGACGGGAACATCATTGGCGGGCGACAGAAAGTGATAACAGTTGATAAGATACGATAAGCAGCCTCGGAACGGAAGGGTCATCAAATTCGTATCGCAGGTTACAGCAACAGGGACCTCAGATACGTGAGGTGATATAGGGTGTGGGACGGGAACATTATTGGCGGGTGACAGAAAGTGATAACAGTTGATAAGATACGGTAAGCGGCCTCGGAAGGGGAGGGTCATCAAATTCGTAACGCAGGTTACAGCAACAGTGGGACCTCGGATCCGAGAGGCGATACAGGGTGATATGATAGTGATACGGGACGGGAGTGTTATTGGCGGGTACGGAAGTGATAGGAGCTAAAAGTGAATCCGCTTCACCGCTCACAACAACAATGCGATCGATATGACTCAAGTATAACGATCTCAATGATTCCAACAGAACTCATTCCTCACTGCTTATTAGTAACGACATCATGTACGACCGCTAAGCTAGCTCTATTCCAAATGCATGGGGTTTGTTTACAGAGATGTTATGAACAGCAGCAATTGACTTAATCACTCTTACCACAATTATCTTCCATCAACAACCTTAGTGAGGGCCATTTAAGCGTTCCACTGCTGAATGCGGGAGTGCATTCCAAAGCAAGACGCTTTAAGAGGACAGAATGCATGAATCATAGGCTGCTTCAGCAGCTAACCTAACAGGCTCCATTATTCCCGTGTAGGTTATGAACGTACCAGTCGGATCGCTGGCTAAGGCTGGCTCCCCTCCTTCTGTGATGCGGGGGGGGGCGCTGCTGCTGCTTCTGCGTCTTGACGGAACGAGCGCTGCTTTTCAGTTCTTGGCTGATGCAGAAGATTCCTTTGAACAGTGTGGTTGGTCAACGATCCTTAACTTAGCACGCGGCAAATCCGCATGGCCCGGCGAAGCCGGGCCATGTCACAGAAGGAGGAGCGCCCGGCGACAGCTGGGCGATCCGACTGGTGTATTATTACGGCTCTATTACTTCGGCTGTACAACAACGGCAAAATTCCACAACAGCCCCTATCAGTTGTTATCACTTTCTTTCACCACTCATTGATGCTCCCGTACTACATACCATATCGCCTGATGAAAGTGTCTTCCCACAATTGCTGCGACTTGCGCTATGGTTGCCCAATTTTTCCCTTGTGCTGTTCTCCCTGGTGTTCCCCTCTCACCCCCTATGCCACCTCCTTAATTGACTGCCTGCAATTGCTGCGATCCGCGATATGAATTCGGCGATTCAAAGCCAGTGAAGCATTTTGCGGACGGACAAACATACTCAATTATTTACATACATACATACAGACCGACAAACCGACGCACAAAGCTACTGCTTTGTGGAAAAGAAAAACGATTGTGTTATTGCTTCCAAAACATAACATTGAACTGATACCACAACTGGTTCGTTTCGCTTCGCAATTCTGCTAGCAGTTGATCCCTATTCTCTTTATCATACAGCTTTCAGTCATGCTTTTCTATCCACAGTTACGGTATGCTTCTCTTTGAACACGCACTTCGCTCTACCCTCTCCCATCGTACCCCTATTACCCTGATCTCACTCCCACTGACCCAACTCCTTCCCTACCCTGCTCCTCTGTACGTGCTCACACGAGCTGCCCTGCAAGCGGCTCGTAGGATGGCTGGGAATAGACTATTGCTTGTCTCATATACAAGCTCATATCTCATACTAGTGAATTCCAGCATACACAAGATTGAGCAGGATGTTATCATATTCAAAACATTACCTCAAATTGATACCATGACATGGATTGCTTCGCTACTGCGCTAGCGGTTGTTCCCTCTCCTCTTTATCTGATCGCTGTTATTAATGTTGTTCCTTCCACCGTAGTGTCTTCCAGCTGAAGCACACTCTACGCCTCCCCTCCACTACTTCCCCTCTGACCCCCCCCCCACCCCATCGCAGCACTCCTCACCCTCCCGCCATCCGCTCGCTCCGTTCCTCACCCTGTTTCCTGCACATGCCCGCGTTCAGCTGCTACGCGAGCAACTCGTGCAATGGCTCGGAGTGCACTGAATAATTGTCTTATACACAATTGACACCTCTGAATGCCCTCATTTGTTCCGTTCTGGCGCCATCACTCGTTACGTTACGCTGTGTCGCCAGACTATCGCCAAATGGCAGGGCTGCCAAAATACCCACTGGAATTCTAGTCGAGGATAGTGAAAGCGGCTTCAAGGGATGTATTGCCCATGGTTACCCACTGTCTCGAATTTCTGGTCAAAACCTCAGACTTTGCAAAAACTTGCCCCTATGGCTAATTTGATCCCCAGAACACGAATATCACACTCATCAGCGCAAAAACGCTTGCGTCGTGCACTACGGGCTCCTGCACACCTTCGTCCTCTATAGTGTCACAATCCTCAAATGAGTCGTTTGGAATTTGTGCGAATTGGGGGAGAGGGGCAGTCGTTTGTCTCACGCACATGATGAAAATCGGGGGTGACCAGGTCAAAGACCTGTACAACCGTGCTCAGAGAATCGTTCAGCAGGTACAGAGTGCAGACTTGTAAATGCCCTCCAAAAGTCTTATGTTTTGCAATTAGGACGAATTGTTGGAGTCAGGCTCTTGACAGATGCGTCCTCATAGCACTCGACAAATCGAGATGCTGAAATTTCTGTTCCTGCGTGAAGCGAACTAATTTTGAGCCATTGTTAGAACGCGTTTTTATTATGGTTGCATGTACATATCACAACTATACATATGGGATAGAAGATCCTAAAGTAGCTTCCCGAAAAAGGAAGGCAATCGAACTTCATACGTTGACGGAGCAAGTTATTTCATTCAGATAGAATTCGATATTGAATAAGTGCAGTCTTGCTGCTATTCATTACATTCAAGGTCACAGTACTTCTCGGTCATAATGGCGCCGGCAAAAGCACGACATATAGTATGATTTGTGGTTCAACAAGTATGACAACAGGCATGTGCTCCATAATAGTTCATATACAACCAGTGCTTATCAGTATACTTCCGAGCAGTAAGCCTACTCAATAGAACAGATTGTAGAAGAGTGTGAATCATCAGCAGGTTCTATAACAATATTTGGTCAAGACCTCCGAAGAAACTTGTCTTCTTGTCGTTCAAGCATGGGTTTCTGTCCACAGTTTAACTGCATTTTCGAGCACTTGACCGTTAACGACCATCTCTGGTTCTTCTCTAAGCTGAAAGGAGCTGGTGGTGATTGGGAGGCAGATGCAGATGTGCTCTGCTCTTCTGTCGGCATGCAACACTTGAGAAGAAAGGCAAGTGAGACGAGCCAAAATTGAATGCATTGAACATTCAAGTATTGTGCACTTTCTCCTCTTCAGCTATCATCAAAACTCTCTGGCGGCGAGAAAAGGAAATTATGCTTAGTAATGGCATTCGTTGGAGGATCCAAACTCCTGATTTTAGATGAGCCAACAGCGGGAATGGATCCGCATTCTAGGAGAATCGTTACAGACTTCGTCATAAAACAAAAGCAAGACCGGTAAGCATTGAGGTATCTTAAGGACATAATCGGCTTTAGTAATTGGCAGGTGGCGGAGGAGGGGGATTCATGAGCAAAAGAGTAGGTACTTATGCGTTAATAGTGAAGAACGCCAAAGAAACTGCTAGAGTGCATAAAACAAAGCTTCTCTGTAGGGTCACCGTCACGGACTGGCTAGTTTTACTCCAGCAAATCGTTACATCTTTGATTCCTAGCACCCTCTAGCTCTAGAATACAACATAAAAAAATTGAGGAAAGGTTGAGATCAGCCATTACATCAATGTAATGCATCATTGGTGAGTCATAGTAACGCCAATACGGAACGTTGGGAAATGCATTGATTTGTTACGTACACTCCTGGGAGTCGGAATGGACGTCTACCATTCACACAATATGTGTAAGGAGCGAGAAATGCGAAAGGAATCATAGAAGCAGAAATTACAAAACATTTCCGAGAGATCACGATCGCGCCGGCTGGAACATGGGCGTGTTCGTGAGGAGTAGGGCTTGCGATGGTAAGGTATTCTGCGCGAGCTTGCTCAATCGTTTCGTGAAAGTTGACAGAGTGGAAGAAGTGGTTCACGAGACGCACTGTGAGCCATCGATGCTCAAAGCGGACGCAAGCGAAAAGGCGTCACTATTCCACACGGCGCTTTCCTGCACAAAGCAGTTGTAGTCAGTGTATCAGGTATTTCATGCAAGTCATCCTCATGTCAGCGTTTACAGGATACGTTCACTCGCAGATGAACGATTCACACAACACAACAGAACGTGTTATGCATATGAGCGAGATATTTTGGATACGACGTCTAATCGCCCCATCGCCATTTCTTAGAGTTCTGTTGAGTACTAGAGATGCGATGCAAAGGAAGTGAAAAAGGGCGAGACCGCTAGCCCCGCAACCTCCAACGCTATTGGACGCACAAAAGCAAAATGCATTGAGCAGTCAGTAGCCATCAACGTGCGTTGTCTTCTACCCCTTAAATCGTTGTTAAGAGCTGGAGTCAGATCAGGAGGTTCTGTTTCTCGGGCAATTTTGCGAATTTCCTGAGCAGCTCCAAAGACACTACGACTAAATGCAATGTAAAGATGTCGGAGGTGCTCGCTTTCTCACGTTATTTTTTTCTTTGATGATTTCACAATCAAATTGAATGACCTGCGTACGACACAGCGGCTAGCGCTTTGAGGGTGCCTTGGTCCACCGATGATGCAATTTTCCTAGTGCACTTGTTCTTTGGCTTACGGTACTCGCAGCTTCCTACCGCAATTTCTTCAAAGCTATTTGGGTTATTTATTTTACAAGCTTGACTTTCATGATTACCCTTTATTTATGCACGCCATTTAGAGCTGAGAAGTTAAGAGGATGACCAATGACTGCGGCATTGTTAATTTTCTGTCCCGGTAAGCGAATCTGAGTGCCTCGTTCAATCGAAGAAGCCTGTTCTGTGTTTCCGACCTTTTGTTTCTCTTTTTCCTTCTGTCAAGCAGCAGGCAACTGGCAATTGCAATGTCCGGCTTTGAAGATGAGGACCGTAAAGGCGTAGAGTTCGTAGCGAAATGTCGTGGCGCATGTGTCTAATGTTCCAACAGTGAATTCATTCGGAACATTTTGGATATCCAAGAAACCTAGAATGAACAATCGAGATGAGTGTCCTCCAGTAGCAAAAAATCTTTTGCTGTTCATACAACACAGGAGTTGTAGAATTGGAAAGGTGGTCTCCTCATTATTGAATGGAGACATCGTAGAATTCTTTGTTTATAACAAACTGACACCATCGTAGGGTAGCGGAAACTATATATGTACCAGACCGGAGCTTTGTGAAAAGGGTTGGTGAAATACAACTAACGTACCGAATCGGGAAGGTGAGGAGACGGAGAGATTTCGATTTGTGATACAGCTGCAAATTTTGTGGATGTGTTCACTTTAAGATTCGGCATTTACTTTAGCAAATTATAACAGGTGCATTCTGCTGTCAACGCATTACATGGATGAGGCTGAAGCCATGGGTGATTTCGTGTACATCATGAGCCTGGGACACGCCGTATGCAGTGGAACTCCGTTTTTTCTGAAGCAAAAGTAAGCATTCTCACCAATTTTCAAACCTACGATTTTCAAACCTTCAGAGTGAAAGTGGTAGAAGTGAGCCATAATTCAGAAAAGCGGGAACTAAGGAACGCAAATGAGACATGAATAAATAGTATTATATGCAAGCTATCACAAGAATGCTGAGTTATGGGCAAAAGTCGGACCACGGACGGGATTCGAACCCGCATCTTCTGCTTACCGGGCAGTTGCGTTCCCTATTACGCTACCGAGGCCACTTTTGACCACTCAGCTCAATGGCTATTTGTGCCATAGCCTTACAGCACTCACACGTTCAACGTGATGAGCCGGTTAGCCGATATCGGCAAGTGAAACAGCAAGGCTGAAGGCTTTTTACAAGTTATAAGCTGTTATTGTTTTGATAACTGCTGTTTAACGCCGCAGTACACGATACGAAAGCTATCACAAGAATGCTGAGTTATGGGAGAGCTACGCAGGCCGTAGGAATTGAAATGCCTCGCGAGGCAATTTTACACTCACTTTGGCGCCATCTTTGCGTAGTACCCCCCTCAGCTCACGCCATTAATTTTTGAATTGATCTTTCGAGTGTTTTATGATTGACTAGGAGAGGTCAGCTGGTCCTTCGCAATAAACTATACATCAATGTACTCGAATTGAGACGCTAAACTCAATCTTGCTTGCGAAGTTTGCGAGATGACTTGCGGAACATAATGTGAGGAATTTATCAGTGTCTTTTTGAGATGAAAGACGTAGGCGGTCAGATCCACGTGGTATGGGTAATCCAAGGATAGGAAGACGCAGCAAGCATTTTGTGTAGAATATCATTCTCATTTAACAAGGGCAATTATGATGACCACCACTTGAATGAAGGCTAGGACCAGAGGCGCGCGCTTCAGGCATTCCTGCATTAAACGATTATGGTATTCGTGTTCAGAGGCGAAGACAATACAAATTTCCACTAAACTTTGTGAGTTTGGCAGATCTCCACAAAGTGTCATCATAGATGGGCAACGGTTTCGGGCAGGCTCGTCATCGAGCACTCTTGGAACCGGAAAAAACTTTCAGAAGTGCGTCCTTTTGGAGAGCGATGTCTTCCTCGCGTGTTGGCATCTGCATCATTTTCTGATTATTAGAATCAAATTGCCAGTCAGGACTAGTCGGTTATAGATAGGAGTGGTCAGAAGGGGACGAGTCCACAGTTTGGCTGTTATTGCCGGAGCAATAACGGCCAAACAGTGAACACGTAATTTTTTAAATGAAGTTAAGGTCTCAGATTATGATGAGAATTTGTCTCCGAAGGGAGTGTGACACCTCGACACGAATGTCACACCTTTTCAGTGTGAAAAAGCTTATGAAGTTTATTGCGAACCGAGGCACCTGGCGCTTCAAAGCCACAAAGCAACCAGGTTCTTGAAAAAGTGTTCGTCTAGCAAAATTCCGAGAAAGCACGAAGCAAATCAACGAACTCATCAGCCCTATTGTAGGAGTCCGAAAAATATCAAGACACGAAGGTGTGAGCTCCACACACAGGCTGGCTTCTAACGAACCTTCTCCCAAATTCGGGCTAGCAAATTCTGCTTCTAGCTCTTCGGGAGATCCCATCGAGAGTAGCATACACCGTCTATGGCAAATATCCCTACTTTCCCTCGAAGACGATAGCATCGGCCCCAGAGAAACCGCAACTGTTGCTCATGGGGGCGTATGGCAAGCGCTGGTAATGCGAAAACGAGTCGGAAACAACGCGGCAGAAAAGCTCGATTCTGTCCAAAAGATTAGTCATCATTGCGTAGGAAATCCTTGAGTCCACCACCCAGCCCCACACCAACTCATAAACATCCAATTTTTCGAAACCTGGACGAAATTCAGAATTGACTGGAAGTATGCTTTCAGAAGTAGTTTGAGCCGTTGAACACGAAAATGGCAATCATTAGGCAAGGAATATTTCTGTGATGTGACTTTGACTCGCTCAGTCTTCAGTAGGGTAGTACTGATCACCGCTGTAAATATATCTGATGGTGTAGTTGTCACGTCGAATGGCTTCCTCGACCTGAGAGCTTCCCTTATGAGTCGCTCATATCAGTACCTTACTTTAGTAAACAACCCTACATTTTCCCGTTTCCATTTCCTCTGTTCGCCTTATTCATTTCCTCGTTGTGCTATGATTATTTTGTATACTTAAATCATATCCTGTGGCTTGTGTTCATTCATTCGTTACGAAAATTGATTAGGGTATACGCAATTTTGTATGCAGTGCACAGTCAATATGGCATATTACACAACATGGAGGTACAGGAAAAGAAAAAGCCTCCGCACATCATTAAAATTAGGCGTGAGCTGTGGGGTACCGTACGCAAAGTGGCGCAAAAGTGGTGTAAAATTGCGTCGCAGCATTTCATTCCTACGGCTGCGTAGCTTCTCTTCCTGAGTTATGGGCAACAGTCGGACATGTCAATGTACTATATGCATTATATGCAAATTATAAGATTTACAAAGGCTCACTTACTCCTCGCATAAAATAGTCATCAAAATATTGCTTCATGATTCATGGACGCTGAGATTAGAATTCCAAGCCGTCACAACTTTCGAGGGATAGCGTCCATTAGGGAGGCCGTTCAGGTCGTGGTGAGCTTTTCAAAAACGGTTTGTTGCATGATGTAGGGGTCCATGCAAGGACTACGCAGATGGGGTTCATCTGCTGAACGCTATTGGGAATGTCAAGGAAGGTCAAATATAATTCGAAAAGAATGGGCCATTTAAGCCTCTTCATTCGCCTCCGTTCTAGCTGTAGCGTTGATAGCGTATAGTATCTGAGATATTCTTTGAGCAGGTGTGAAAAACAACGCAAAATAAGGGTCAAAATTCAAGTTCACTTGAATTGTGGTGAGCTACATAGGGGTTCCATAGTCATCTGCGCATATCTCTTCAAAAGGTCCTGCATCTCATCGCTCGCAGTGGGCGGTGGTGTGGTGGATAACGCGATGGACTCCCAATTGATGCGTTTGTGGATCGGATCCTTTTTGCATCTTTCAGATCCTGTATTCCTGTGTGCCCCATAATGTGTATGACCGGGATATACGCCATTTAAGGGCACATTCTATGAGGTAATGGTTCACAATGGGGTCTCACGCAACTATTACGCTCGCGAAATACTATCGAAGAAACTCTCCCTGAAACTTGGGTTACGGCGGTTATCCGATGCCCTGATCACGAATATGACACTCATTTTCGAATATGACGCAATATGTCGCCAATTTGGTGCAAAGGCTCTCTCGCACTAACATCACTGCCACCCTGCGCGGTGGGCCTATTTAGCGCCATACTGACACCAGATGGCCTCCGCGCCGAAAATAAGTATCAGAACCGTGATTAGGACCATCAAATACCCCTATGTACAGAGATACGCCGGAAAAATTTTCCGGGCTTTTTGTAATATGATGTCTGCCCATGTCTCCAGTTAGAGGCTATCAGTCCCCCTCCCCTCCCAGAAGTCGTTATCCAACATCGTTAATAGAGAGCTTTTCATTTGCTAGTATGCAGACGCATGAGTAACGACTACAAAACTCAAAAAGAAGTGACGTGCATACACTGCACACCATTTGCTCTTCTAATGTGATTGGAACAAAATCCTTTGCTGGAGGCAAAGAGCTCTTTGTTGAAAGCCTACACGCTAAAAGGTGGAGAAAGATTCAGGATGGTGGTTTAGTGACTTCGAAGCTAACACGATGTTCTTTGAAGACTTTCTGAGGTTGAGAGTGCGAAAAATGTAAAATTTCTGGCGGTTCGTAAACCAGAGGCCTTCACGGAGGGTTCACTGCCACTGCCATCCAAATGGTCAGTCCATTACCACCAGGAAAACTCGAAAAAAATTTTTGCTGAAACCTCGTATACAGGGGTAATTAATGGCCCTGATCACGATTCTGACAATTATTTATGGTGCCGACGTGATCTGGGGCCAGCGTGGCGCTAAATGGCCACTGCGCGCGGGATGGGAAGCTGCATAAATAACTAGAGAAACTGCCGTGTACTGCCAGATAAAGCACCAAAATTTTGATCTTATTCTGCGTTGTTTTTCGTGCCTAGTTAAGAAACACGTTATGAATTATACTTTCCCAGCTCTACAGCTACAACAGAGCCAAAAAAATGACCAAATTAGCCTATTCTGCGCAACTTGTTTTTTTTTTCCTTTTTGGCATTCCCAATAGCGTTTAGCAAAATTGAACCCCATCTTTGTGGTCCTTGCATGGACCCCTACATCATGCAACAAACCGTTTTGAAAAAGCTCACCACGACCTGAACGACCTCCCTTGTTAGGCAGCGCTACGTCGCGCTACATCTGCACTTACAGTTGTAGCGCGACGTAGCGCTGCAACTGTAGCGTTACAATTGTACCCGACTCCAGCTTCCCTTTATTTTCTTTCCATCTGAATTCAATTCCCTTTTACTTTGTTTCTCTTTTCTATATGATCCTGAGCTCCTCTTTTCCCTTTACCACTGAATTGATCTCAATCAATCTTTAACAGTATAGAAGGAAAACAATTTCGCAATCGGGATCAACATGATGCACCACTGCAAGACATCAAACATCAATAGCAATCCTGAGTCTGGATAATTAAAGTCGAAAACGATTTATCAAAATATTATCACACTGTTCTGCATCAAAAACTACATGAAATCCTTCTATTCTATAAAGCACTAACTTTGTGTGTCGGTTTGTCGGTATGTATGTATGTATGTATGTCTGTCCGTCCGCAAAATGCTTCACGGGTTCGAGTTCGCTGGAGGCGAAAACGACCGCTAGGCAAACAGGCAAATCGGTGCGGAAGTATCAATCCAATGTTTTGATCGTGATATCGGCCTCCGCTATATAAGACAACCATTCGGTACACTCCGAGCCATTGCACGAGCTGCTGGCGTGGCAGCTGGACGTGTGCTCGTGCGGGGGCAGGGTGGGGGGCCGAGAGAGGGGGGGGGCACTGCGTTCAGCGAGTATTTAAATATTTTTTTGCTTTTCAACAT